CTGGTGTCTAGCTCCTCCTGCCAGCCCTGGGGCCTGTTTGCGTATTGTTTATTTTTATCCTGTCCTTGATGGATCTGTGCGCGTGTTCAGTGTTGTCAGATGATTTTCTACCAGTTCCTTCACGTAGCAATTTAAGGCTAGCCCTAAGTGCCAGGACGAGTCAAAAGTTCTTTTTTTTTTTTTTGGTGGTAATCTCTGAAGCAGGCGAATACCTCCCTCTGTTTGTAAATGGATATCTGTAGGCTACAGATGTGGTTGGTGGTTTGTTCTCAGAGAGAGATCCAATTTGACTGTAATGGATTATGTTGTCTACTGCAGGAGAGTTCACTGCCCCTGCCACTTATAAGGGTGCTTCTCCGGTTGCCTGCACTCTGGCACGTTGCTGCTATGAAAGGCCACCTGGCCACCTGGCCACCATCCAGGTGCACATCCATCTAAACAGTCAAGAATGGCATCCTGGAGATGGGCAGGAGTGCATGTCAGCATCTCATTTACGTTTGAGGTAGGGTACACAATTATTTCCTGTGTTGGACTAGGTTAGCGCCTTCCTTTTGCTCCTGCATTGTGTTGGAGGTCCCAGGAGCAATCAGGAGCATATTTAAATGTCATTGTTTTTACAAGGATGGTGTTTTGTTCATTGGTCGAGTTTCCGGGTCAGATTTCTTTCAGCTGGGGTTCCTCAAGCCAGGATGGTTGGGCTTTGCATCCCTTTGTCTGATCACACTCTCCCACTCTTCCTTTCACCCTGCTTGAGCAGGGAGGTTGGACTAGATGATCTCCAGAGGTCCCTTCCAACCTAAACGATTCTGTGACTCTGTGATTCTGTGATTCCTAGAAGGACTCGGGGAGCTGGTGCGTTATGTTTTTTTCATTCCTTGCTCTCTGATTTTGTTTTTCTACAGGACTATTGATCTGTAGCCCTGCAGGGTGTTGGGGTAGCATATGGGAGTCCCTGTGCTATGTATTGGAAAGAACATTTGCTTTTCCCCAGCTGTGGCTGTATCAAAGCAATTGTTTTCCATTTTTGCTCTCATTTTGGGTTCCTTCCCACCCTATTGCCATGGGCTAAAGAATAGCTTTGCTCCCCTTGTTAAACTTTTGTGGCCGTGTTAATATTGTTTGAAGTATTGCCATAATGTTTGTTTAAAAACATATTAATTAGGTTTTCAGTAATTGGGGTTTTCAGGGCTCTCTCATATTGTTTGGCTGGTATAATTTGTTCTATTGATCTTCCTCGAGATATAACTCAGAGCCAATCCGTAGCAAGGCTGTGGTGTGCAGCTTGCTGTTGCTATTCAGTGTGATTTGTTTACGCACTAGACTGGTGGCCTGTGGTCTGATAAGTAGGGCCGCGTTCTGACTGTTAGCACATTTCCATCACTGTAAACTAAATCCGTCCTGGCAGCTGATTACTCTTCTCACCTCCTGAGTCTCGGTAAGACATGCAGTTGCATATGTGCACAGTCCAAGACACATGCAGGGGTGCCTCGGAAAGGCCCCGGCTGCGGGCACCTGGAGCCTCTCTGAGGCATGCTGCGGACGGCTCGCAGTCACTTCGACTTGATTACAGCAGACCCAGAGACACTGTGGCTGTGTCTCCTGCTGCGGTGCGGCTCTGCGATGGGTTTCCATGGTAACCCCAAGGCTCATTCCCCAACTCCAGGTTTTTCAAAAGCGAAAATTTTCGTTTCCATCAAAAGAGCCTTTCTGCTGGGAGATTCAGAGCCACCTCCCCCAGCCAAAGCTGAGGCTGCCAGCTAAGAAGCCCAGCCTGGGGAGCTGGGTGCCAGCAGCCTGTGCTCCCAGAAACTATTTCCACAGGCAATCTGCCCTCATCCTTTGATGGATGCATTTACTCATCACACACCTCGAGCAGGTGCCACGCTGCAGAGTTGGGCTAATGAGGCACATGGGCCACCGGGCTGGGCCCTGGATTAGCCATTCACTCCCTTCACAGGTGATGAGCAGTTTTCTGAGCATCCTTCCACCCTTCTGGAGGCTGCCCACAGTCTGAGCAGCCTCTCTCCCTGCATGTGACCTGTGCCAGGTCCGTCTGTCCATCCAGGCACCCAGGCAGGCCCCTTTCCCACGTGTCCATCTTCCGCAGGACCAGGAGTGGGGCGCTGAAGCCCCCAGTGCCACCGCAGTGATAGCAGAGTGCATTAGCCTGTGAAGAGGAGAACCACCACTGCCATGCACTGCCCCATGTGCCAGGACTATGGGGCACAGCAGAGCTGAAGGCTTGTTGGCCCCTGTCATTGCTGAGCTGTCTTGTCACCAGTCCTGACAGCAGCATCTGGCTCCTTGCCCCCTGTGCGCATCTTCGCAGCTGTCCCGATGCATCTGGCCGTTGCATGAGGTCTGGTAGAGATGTGATCATTTTTCTGCCAGCAGACACAATACATTTCCGAACAATAGTCATTGTGCAACTCATCTCTACATTTAACAGAATTTTACAGGCAGAATAAATCTCAGGGCCTTTATAAATCTTGTCACTGAGGTAAGGACTGTGCATCCAGAGCGTCATGTCAAGTAAATCCTGCCCAGCTCTGGGACATATGAGGAGCATTCTGTATTTCACACCTGCTTTGGAGCACATCAGGAGATATATGAAATACAGAAATGAAACCACTGCACTTTAGAAAGATTCCACATTCCCCTCCCCGCACTGTGGTGCTCCAGATTGTCAGCTGGATGGAAAATGAGATTTCTCAGACTAGCTGGGAAGGTCCACCAGGTTTTGCAGTCATTCAGGCCTGAGCTGGAGCAAACGTTCCCCGGCTTTTGCCGCAACTAGGCCAGTGCTGTTGCAGCCAAGAGTTGCATTCTCATTCTGCAAAAGGGTGTGAACAAAATCTGAGTGGTTGAGTCAACTTCATCTGGGCCCAAATCTCCATACGCCCTTTGTGATTCTCTTCGCAGTGCCCAGTCTCACTCTGGCAATTGCCGTGGAACCGGGGTTTTCTGGCAGCTGACAGGGACTGCCAGGACTTTTGGCACTGAGGAAGTAAGGCGCTGCTGTACGAAGCTATTAATTTATCTTTCTAGTTTGCCTCAGCAGTGAGACACCTAGCAGTGTCATCTCCTAAATGAGCATCAGTACATTTCAGAGTTAACTGCACAGAGAGAGAGATGTCTGGAAAAAAAAACACTCCTTTCTACAGATTAACAATAATACTAACGAAAAAATAGCAAGGAACCTGCAGTCCAAGGTGAGCTGCTTGGATGTGTTTTGAACTTGTCACGTCTGCTACAGCTTGCCTGAAACTGTAGGTCTGAGCCTGCAGTCCCAAGCACGTGGGAGCAGCAATACGGGCAGGACAGAAAAGATTTTGTGGGACAAGCCTAGTAGCTGCCTCATAAAAGACTTTTCAAGCATGTCCAGTCTAATGATCTACAATTCCAACAATGCTGTGCTCTGCAGCTAGAAGACAGTCTAATTCTTAATTTTTCCAGCCTGATATCTCCCTTTTGGACAGATACTTGAATAGAATAAATGTTTGGAAATTCAAGCCATTCTACAATTCAGCTTATTAGTTAAGATATAGACTGATCCATATATTGGCTATGTTTATAGGCACTTATGCTTGGAGAAAGGTGAAGGTGGATGGGGAGGAGGACTGGAAAGGGAGCAGAGAGGCTTTTGGAGGGTAGAGATGGCGAGTAGACTGTGGGAGGGAATATCCATGAGTCTCAGGAGGGCTCCCACTGTGACCAGTGGATGTGGTCAAAGCCCACCAGAGCCCTCCTCTGCTGCCTGGTCTGCTTGCTCCAGCTCTTTGTCTTCTGATATCTCGGCTGCTGCCCAAATCAGACTGTAGCCATCTACCTGGGTCTGCCCTCCGGGCACCCTTGTGGCTGTCCAGTCATGTTGCTGTAGTAAGAGTCTGGCCAATGCAACTCGGAGCATTAAATCACAGTGTGATCTCTGGGTTCTTTTCTTCCCTGCCCGCCAGAGCCTAGGTTCTTCCCGAGCTTGTCCTGAAGGGGTGTCAATAATTTTCTCTGCTTTTCACTGCAGAAACCTGACCCTGACTGACACTGAACCTAGAGAGAGGCTCTGGGGTCTTCTTTCACTCTCATTCTCCACCCTGTGCTATCTCTGCTATCTGATGCCATGCAAATATTCCTAGACTCCATAAATGCTTTGCCTTTCTCAGTCCCATCTCTAATTTCCATGGTATATCAGAAAAGAAGAGGTTGACTTTCCTGACTTCCCTGCTGTGCATTCATTTCGACCTGTGAAGGGGAAGTGCAAAGTGTGTACTGAACATGGGCAGATAAAAAGTCTTCACGGACTCAAGGGCAGACTGGATGAGTTCTTAGATGAGAACTCCACAGAGGGTTGCTAAAAACATAGTAATGATGTCTGGCTCAGTTAGTCCCTGAACCGCATATTGTGGGAGGCTGACTGATTATTAGAGAGAAATGTCATACATACTCATCCTATCTTTATTCTCTTCCCTAGCACTTGCTCTGGGCTCTGTTAGGGAGAGGTACTGTGCCAAGCAGCCCTCCGGTGTCACCCAGCCTACCTGTTCCTGTGTCTCATTCAATAATACCATGGAGGAAATACCCCCAAACCGTCTTATGTAGGAGAAAAAAAAAAGCACGTGACGTGTGAGGATATGAATTGCCCCCAAACCTTGTCCACAGAAACCTACCATTGCTAAGCAGTGCCTAGTGGTGCCAAGACCTTCCAGATGTGGAAAGCACAAAGGAGCCAAAAGATAAAATAGATGATGATAGAGTTAACTTGCTGATAGCAGGAAGATACTCTCTCACCTACACAGTGCTCTGGAGACTGCTGGCCACCAGCAGGAAAGGCACAGTCAGAAGTCGCTCCAGTAACAGGACAAGAGCATCTACCAAGGCCTAGTTATTCAGCAGTGTGCTGGTTAAATAGTCCTCCACCTCCTGGCCCTTGTTCCCCCTTTTTGTGCGGGAACTCACCCACATTAAAAATGACTGTGTTGTTTGAATGATTATGATTTTTTTTTATTCCAGATCAATGCAGAGAGATGTGCCTAAGGATGGTCCAAGGGTGCATGTTGCTTCTCATACCATCTTCATGTATTCAAGGGCTGATAGGACGTCCTGGTGTTAGGATTTCTCTCAGTCAAATCTTATTTGAACTGAGCCACATTTTTCTGGAAAAAAAAAGTTTATATGCCAGCAAACAGAAACCACTATAGCCCTAGGGCATATGCTCCAACAGTTAATTGTCCGCACTGCTATGTCTAGTCTGAATTTGCCAAGTTGCTACTTCTAGCTCTGGATCTTTTTCTGCTTTGGTTTCTAGACCAAAAAGCCTATAATCAAAGTTTTATCCCCCAGCAAGCCCTTACAGACTGATCAAATCTCCGCATCACCTCTTTTTTTTAAGCTGGACATTAAAATTCAGCATTTATCTGCATGCATTTCGGCTCCATTCGCTTTGTCAGGTGAAGCTGTGCTGAATGGAGGAAGGATTAGTTGGAGGAGTTTGACAGGGCTGCCGCTGTGATAGGAAAAGGGTTAGTTTACGTTGTGGGACCATTGCAACACTGGCTCTGAAGTAAGTGCCAGCAGTGGTGCACAGACTGGATGCAGGCAACACACCTGGCTGAGGTGCCCAGGGTCAGTGCAGGGACCGCAGAAGCGATTCCTCCACGGGTGTCCTCACGGCAAGGCTGGCTGAATGAGTCTGGTGGTCCATGTAGTGTAGACCAAAGGTAAGGGGCTCCCAATGACCCCATTTGACCTAGACGTGTTTCGCCTTTGCAAAGAGCAGGATTTGGCTGTTGTCTGGGTGTGTGCACGTGCTCCATTCCCAGAGCATTTTGTAAGGGCAAATGGCTAGGAGGCAATAAGCACGAGTGTCAGCACACACTCGATGGAGGAACGATTGGGAGGAGGCAGAGCTGGAAGAGGTTTCGGAGCAGAGATGAACTCCCATCGCATCTGCCACTGGAATCCCCTCCTGCCCTCCTACACACCCTGCAGTGTTGACCTTTTCTTGCTCTTAAACTTGTCAACATGACCCTTTCGCTGATCTAGGAATGATTTCCCCTTGATATATGACAGGTTCTTGGGAATGTCAGTTTTTTCTCTTGTTTATTTTTTTGCCCAGCAATTAACTGAATTTCAGTGACTCCTTCCATTCAGCTGAAGCTGTGCACTGTGAGCTCACCTGCCAGTGCCAATTTGATCTGGATTCTGTCTGAATACATGATCATATTTCTGTCAAATTTGCAACAGCAAAACACATGCTATTTATTCTGACTTTATCCTCGGTACAGACTGACTGTAAAAGGGCAGAAAATACTGAGTACGGCAGGAAGTTTGCTGGGGAAAAGCAAATTCCACTGAATGCTTTGAACAACTGAACCATCTGAGTGAGTTTGTACTGGATTAAGGCTCTGCAAGCAGCAGTGATGGTGGTCCACTATTGGGCACTGACATCAGATATGCCATCTTACAAAGCCATCTTACCTCAACAGCAAATGCTGAACTGCAGAACTTCCTGGATGTTGTTGCACTGCAACATATGTACGAGCAAGAGGTGTTGTCTGTGCAGTTGCTGGCTTTTTATAGAGCCTAGGCATGAAAAAATTTGTGAGACAGAGGTAAGAACTGGGAAAAGGCCGTTAGATGAAGGGGATCCTGCCCACTTTCCTACAAGTAAGCAACTGGAGGGGGTCTCCAAATTCTGCCCTGCAAGGAGAGTGTCCATCTTCCCAATGGCTCTGCTTCGGCAGAACTCCAGGACAGCAAATGTTTCTTCGAGAATCATCCCTCATCACCTGAGAGAGGCTAAACAACTTTTTGAAAGCTCTAGCTTTCTGCAGCTGCCCCAGGAACTAGATATGGTTTTCAATTCCCTGCATATATCTCACCTCCCCCAACACCTTCATGCATTGTACCACCCTGCCTGGCATGAGCCCCAGAACACAGCCACTGAGCAATCCCTGAAGGGACAAAAAAGGCAAAGTCCTCCATCCGCACCCTGCCAACAATTGGGCACTTCGCACTGCTCCAGCCCCCAGTATCATCCCCTCTGGTAGACTCCTCAGCGTATGTCTCCTACCTCCTCCCCGCTATGCAAGAAGACAACCTGCCCTCCTGGAGAGCAGAGGGCTGGCCAGAGCTGCCCCAGAGAAGGGAGGAACCATGTTTCCTCCCTGAGCAATTCCAGAGAGAGGCTGATCTGGGAAAGAGGCATTACAAACTCACTGGTATTTTGTAAAACTTAATATCCTGGGCAGCACTGGGGATGGGAGCATAGTCAAGCACTTTTAGCACTGATGCAACCCAAGAAAAAAGCATCTTATTTGGACAGAAAAGGACTGGACACATCCTCCAGCTGCAAGGATGGCAGCAAGATGGTCAGGATTTCCAGGCTTACAGCCCTGTACCTTGCAAGGGCACCCAGGTCAGCAAGCACCCTGTGGCCTCAGGGAGAAAGCTATGAAGTTCCCTGAAAGAGCTGAGACCTGTACTGTGTTGCTCATGGTGAGTACTATGAGGTGGCAGTGGCCACAGGAGGAATGGCTCCACTTTGCCTTGGTCTGGCGGAGGTAGGGGCAGCCGCTTCCTTCAACCCCTCTGAGCAGGCACCGCTGGGAGAGCATTGCAGAGGGCAGTGCGAGGCCAGGCGGCGAGCCAGCAGGTGAGGGACCTAACACACAGCCTGACTGCTGAGAAGAGCAGTGGGCAGACGCTCAGCCAGAAACAGAGACAGGGAGAAAGAGATCCAGAGGGCACCACGGAGGGTTTCTGGAAATGACTGAAAACTGCTAGACTGAGAACATGCCTAGAAGAAAGTATGAAGCCCCCCTGGACGGTGGGCAGGGGAAAGGTTTCCTTACAATCTCTCTTATTTTTATTCTATCTTATTCCAGCAAAGCAGAATTCTCTCCATTTCAGAAGTCTTCTTGTGCTACTTTGTGTTCTGCTAAAACCTGACTTTAAAAAGCATCAGATAGTTCTCCCTCCAAATATCTGGCCAGCTCGGGGCCCTGCACAACACTCTCCTGATTACAAGCAAATGCAAGGTGCTGAAATGGATACCCCAGCCTGGGGCATGCTGTGACATGGGTCAGGCTCTAGGTATTTTCTTTCCAGACAAGTCTGTCAACTAGCAATGATACATCATTCCTCCTTACTTTCTAATTCCTCCTCTGATGGATGCAGCCAGCCCTTCTCCAAACCTGACATTTATAGCACCAGTTTTCTCTGGGTATAAATATAACCTGAATGCGTTGGAGTAGCAGGAAAATCGTTTAAATGTTCCCTTTGACAGCAAGTTTGAAGATTGCTGACACTAAAACCACTTACTTATATTGTTCTGTATCATCCTGCACTCAGCCTTCAATCATCCTCATTACAGGTGTGTCAGGCACTTTGCACAGGGCCTCATGCATGAGCTCACCCTCTCCTGCCTGCTGCCCATACCATGACACATCCTAGAAGCCCAGAGACCCTCATACTTCCACTTTAAATAGAGAGCACACCTAGTAGCCACACCAATGGATGAGCCTGCAAAGTCATGCCAAAGTCATAGGGTGAACAGACACATGTACACAGAAACCTAAGGGTGAGCGTGAGGTGGGTGGATAAGAGGTGCCTTATGCACAGATATACTCTCCAGTGTATGTAAACCTTTGACCTATCTTAGTGCAAATTGGGGAAGCCAGAAACTCTAGTTGCTTTTGGTACCAGTCTTTCAGACCGCACCCTTAGCAAAATGGCACATGTCTGCATGTGATAGGGTTTAATTTGGATTTAATGTACCTAACATGCAGATAGACAATCTCCAAATCCAAACGTGCATCCAGCGTCCCTTGGCCTGTCTCTACTGTCTGACTGGATACCTTGTGGTCTGGCTCAGAGCAATAGAAGTGGAAGGTCCAGCATGCAAGTAACGTGAGCACCTGGGAACGAGCAACAAATGGACAGGGACCCAATTCTCCCCTCCATGGGCAGCAGTAGGTGATGGCTGACATTGTGAGTGGCAGGGCAGGGCAGAACTGCAAGCTGCAGCACGACTGTCGCCAGCAAGGGCTGCAGACTTGCGGCGCTCTGGGAAGCTCAGCCTTGGGAAGGGGCTACAGTGTTGTCTGCAGAGGAGCCAGTGCTGCGTTGCTTGGGGGCTGGCCACCCTGCCTGCTCCAGAGCAATACAAAGACAATGTTAGTGTGAATGTGTGCAGAACCTGTCATGGGATGCAAGCAAATCCCTGTCACCAGTCTGCCCTGCAAGATGTCTTACCCTTGCCATGACAGAAATGAAAGCAGAACAGCTCATTCCACCGGGATATTAAAACAGCCCTCAGGCAACTGGTCTCTAGGAGGAGGTTCCTCCACTACTTCATTTCCCAAAGCTTGTCACTACATGAGGCGGTGGGGAGCGGTGGGGGGGGAACTGCAAATACTGAAAAAGGAGCGGATAACTAACAGACAACATGGCAGGCAGCAACACATTACGCTGACGCACTAGCTTCTACAGACATGAGTCGGTGATGAGACAAGTACAATGCTTTAAAAGCTGGGCAGAGAGATGAGCCCTCAGGTACTATGTATTCTTGTGACTGAAACAAAAGCTAGTCAGGCTATGATATGCGACGGGAATCCAAAGATCTTAAAAAACATGAGGATAAATGCATTTCCCTGCACATCCACAATAGCTTTCTGGGCCAAACGAATGGGACCATGGCGCTCTCAGGGCTCACACAGGAGAAATGTTGAAGGATCTCAGCCAGAATCATCCAGAGGTGTGGAATACGAGAGTGAAAACACGGTGGGGGAAAG